AATCAGATTTGAGTATAAATCTCAAAATTTGGCGCTTTTAAAAAAAAATTGGATGTTTCTTGCTGTCCGGTACTGTACTAATAAAATTTGAATATATTACAAGAATATTATAGCTTTTTTTTAATTACAGAAACAAATATTTGCTTTTAGCATAACTTGAACTATCAATTTAATTCGTAAAAGCTTGAAAGCTTAACTAGTAAACTATAGAACCTAAATTTATAAAATATTTTATATATCTTGCAAGATTTTATAAATTTATATTAAATATTTAAATAAACTTTATTTACTTTTAATATCTTTTATTTTTTATTAGTTACTAATTTATCAAAATCTAAATTAATTAATTATTTTTATTATTTTTATTTTTTATTTTATTTAGACATATTATACTAGTGACTAGAAATTAAACCAACAAATTTTTTATTATTAAATAAATACACAAACCCATCCTTTTTGATTCACAGGGTCTACTTTTTTTGATTCATAAAAAGGCCCACTTTTATAATACTATCCCATATGATTTAACCCTAATAAAAAGGAGGGCCTTTTTCTATGAATCAAAAAGAATGACTCTGTGAATCAAAAGGATAAAATTACAGACGAATGATAAAGCTAAAAACTAAATTAAAAATTCGACATATAAAATTAGGTGCGTTGATCATTTGACAACATATTAAATTTTATACATGTGATCTGCACATCTACTATTTATTAGATCAGGTGTGACGTAAAAACAAAATCATTTATTTAAGGAGCTTGTAACTCTTTTTTTAAAAAATAACGATAAACATGGCAAAACATAAATACACATACTCCAACTTAAAAAGGTTTTACAAAAAGTTTCAACCAAAAAACGTTGAATCTAAAAAAAGAAAGGCATACGAACCGGACGCAAAAAAAATAAAGGCATACGACGAACCGGACGCAAAAAAAGTAAAATTAGCTCCCATGAAAGATTTATATAAAGTATATTTCACATATGAACACTTTATTCGAATTTAATAAGTTTAAGAAATTTATATAAATCTATTATAATATTTTAAAGGACCCTCCCGAGAATGCTGAATTATCAGATCATCAGTCGAGCTCTCCCATGTCAAAAGATCAACTGGGATAAGGTTTGGAATAAATTGTTGTTTTTTTTTGGATGTCAAATTCTCTCAGTATTGATTATGCATTTTCTCGTGCAAACTCGTCTGCTTGAAATTTATTAGGAATTACTTCCATTATTGATGCTACGTGTTTTGATATGTGACAAATTGTTGAAATAAAAATACTTTTTGCGTCAAAATCAAGAAATACTTTAATAAAGCACATTTAATAGTTTTATGTATGCATGCATTAATAATGACCTTGACCAAATCAATTAAGATTGTTCTCAAGTTCTTGACCAATCTTGTAGTTGGAGATCTTTAAATACAAAGAGAAAGTTAAATCACATAAATTAATGGAAATTTGATGAAGCCAACGTTTTACCCTTCTCTTGGCCTTTACACTTGATTTCCTTTCTTCTTTTGATTTAGTTTTTGATCTAGATATGCCTAAATTTACTAATGAAATTTGCAGAATCATAAGTATAATTAATAATAAAAAATGTATATTATGGATGATATTGAAAATTTGAAGCAAAGTCATGTGTTATCTCTGCTATGAGCCCTACTTTATTCAGGAACCCGGAAAATTTTGGATTTTATTTATATGAATTTCAAATTATAAATAAAATTCGAATTTTTACAAAGTGCGTATTAAATAAGTGGCGATAAGTCAGATCTTAGCATTATCTAGTATCATCCGCGACTAGGGATGGGTTCGGTCAGTTACGGTCGGTTATCGGTCGGCTATTATCGACTATCGACTAATAGTCGACTATAGTCGACTATAACCGGTTATTTAAAAACATAAACAGATAGCCCGAAAATATTAAAAACTTAAACAAATCGACAAGGATCAGCCCGAAAATACGGAAGATCCCGTAAACATGATATTTAATTGGCCCGATATCACGTGTCGGCTAAGCCACTATAGTCGACTATTATCGACTACGGCTAAAGTCGGTCGGCTAGCCGACTACAAGCCGACCGAACCCCCTATCCGCGACATTCTTTTTAACCGACCTCCGCAACTTCAACTTGTCTTTCTGAATCAGATTCTTCGTTTTGAGAAATTTCTTACCATCAGAGTCTGTATTTGACATTTTACGAGGTTACTTGCGTATTAAGGTTGGATGGTTTTCAAGGTTTGAACATGTACCTAAAATCTGGTAATTTATAGAATTGTCGCGGAGAAACTTAGAAGGTTGCTGTTATATAACATATAGAAGTGCTTACTCAGAATTGATTAACAATCCCAAGCCTATATTTTTGTAAATAGTTCACTTTCAACCTCTACATACTCTTTACTCGTCTTAGTAGCTTTGTAAACCATTTCTTCCTTTAACTCAGATCCTTGTTCATTAAGATGGACTTGTCTTAATTCTTGACGAATTGCTTCCAATTGATTTTGTACAGTATCTTCTGATTTTGGCACAATTTTCCGGTCCTAATTTCATATTTATTAAGGAATTCATAAGAATTTTAGAAAAATCTTACCGAACTTGAGAAGACGACGTTGATTCGATATCAGAATCATTGTCATTATCTTCCATAAACTCCTTTTCGATCTAATTCGAAAGATGCTAGAAACCATTAAGACCAAATTTTTCGGTTATGAATATAAATGGGGAGGGCTATAGCAAAACCAGGCTTCGGGCCAACCAATCAAAATTCAAGATTTTATATCATGACTATCTATCCCATAATTAGTTTTATAAAAACAATTTTAATCATCGAATATATTAATAAAAAATATGTAAATTTAGTTTCTTTGGTACAACATATTATACAAGTGATAATCATATACTAATTTTGATGTTGATTTTCTCAAAATCACATGATTGTCCCGAAGCCTAGTTTTGCTGTGAACACCCCCAAATATATTATCAGCAACCTTTTCAAATTGATCATCCAATAATCGAAGTTTAGCACAACGGAACTTGACATAGGACAGTTGCCGGTAGTTCTTTATCTTTATCGTCATCATATTCTTCATTAATATCCTTTTCTAATTTGTTCTGATTTATCCGAAACTTTCGAAACTCTATTTGCCAATTACTCTCTTCAGCCTTTTTTTCTTCATAATTCTCTTGTTCTTCAGGTAATTCTTCAGCGTTAAGAGCATCATCAAATCGTTTTCTATGTAAGCATCATCCTCAAGAGTTTCTAAAGTTTCTCTAAGCTTTGGATTCATGTCTGATTGAAATCCATGTATATCTAATTTAAAGCAGACGCATGCTTAACAAATTAAGAAACTTAAGCCATGAATATTCAGTATATATAATACCATCAGGGGTATAAGATTGGTTGAAGAATCCAATTGGCATTTCTTCTTTTGATGGTAATACTTCATCTGGTAATACAATAGTAACTTTATATCTTTTTTTCGAGGTCCCTGATTCCTTTTTTCAAGGATAATAAGCAAAAATATCCATAATATCGCACTTTGGTCAAAACACTTTAAAGATTCAGTAGAAACAATTAGTTTTAAAAGAGAGACAAGCATGACTCAAATTTTCATCATTTCCTGTGAAACACATGTATAACATTTAATGACTGATTAAGACTGCCTGATAATTCGATTCTATGATTTTCGACAAAATCGAGCTGACGACCTATTTTCTTATCCTTGGATGAGGCTTCAACGAATTTAAGTAATGGCAGTGTCGATCACGTGATGATCATAAATATTCTAAGCTGTGATTCACTATTACTTTCATGCGATCAACATCGCCAAAATTGTTTACAAGACTTTGATCGAAGATATCTAAGCAACCAATCAATCAAATTTGATGCAAATTTT